CGGGCGGGGGCCGGCGGTCCCTCGAGGTCGGCTCGCAGCTCCGGCCGCGGGTCGCTCGGACGCTGTCCCTGCGGAGCTGGCCCGGCCCGGGCTGCAGCCATGGTAAGGCGCGCGGGCGCGGGGCAGGGCCGGGGCGCGCAGGGCCCGCTGCTCCCAGCGGCTCCGCGGGGACCAGCGGCGCAGCAGCCCCGGCTGTGCCGGGCGGGAGGCGCTGTCTCTGGCTGCTGGTGGTGGACGGCGTTGCGTCGCCGCTTCCAAGTTTCTCGCTCTGATCCGAGCAACGGCGGAGCGGCCCCCGAGGGCTGGGGTGCTGTCCGCGTTTTGGGACCGGGGAGTGGGTCGGTGCTGACGGGAGGTGGGGCGGCCCGCCGGCAGAGACGCGCGTGTTAGGCTGGGGAAGGCGCGTCAGCGACACGCGGAGGTGAGGGTCCCCCGCCCTTTCCTGAGTCAGCTGTTACCTGGATGACCCCTCCTCACCCACCTACCCTGGGCTCAGGGGCAGCACCAACTTCCTTGGGAAGACACACAGAGGAGGCCTACAAACACTGCCTGCCTCCCGGAGAGGGATGGTGAGACGCTTGGGCCCTCCTTCCCGCAGCCTGGCAAAGGGCATCTCCTGGCTCTTCCCACAGCGCCCTCTGCCCAGGGACCCCTGAGAGAGGGAAGCCTAGCCTACCATCCTACCCTTGGGATCATCTATACATCACTGCCTCTGAGACAGGACCCATGGGGAAGCTTCCTCCTGCTGCATCCTACACTACCCCAAACCAGGTCCCTCTGCAGTGTTGGGGGTGGGGGAACTCATTCCTGCCACCCGCCTGTACTGGAAGGAGAGATACTAACCCCAGTCAGCCTCCTGGATACCCCCAGGTAGGAAGTTTTGATGTCTGACTGTAAGGGTGCCAGCTCTTCTGCCATCCTTGCCAGAGCCTGCCACAAACACATTATGCTGGGTGTCAATGCCTCCAGGCCCCATGCCAGCCTCTCCTCCCAGGTTGGAGGCCCCCCAACATTTGCCCACTGCATTAGGAGGCACAGGCTGTTTACAATAGGAGGAGATCCATGTCCAGCCTGTGGGGCAGGATGTTGGCTGTGGGCAGCCTCCAGAAGGGAACTCCCTGGGCCCCATGGAATCAGAAGCTTCCAGGTCTGGAAAGGCCAACCTTTTGGGCTTTTGTCTTTCAAGCTGTTTCCAGGCTGAGGCCCAAGCTTTGGCTAGGAAGTCTTGGTGACTCTGTGACCTTCCCCAGAGGGGGTTCCTGGGAGAGGCCAAGTGGTACTGGTCTTTATCCCTGCCCCACTTCCCTCCACATGGGTACCGTCACACTGATTGTTCCAGTGATAGAAGCCTGGGGAGAACTGACTGTCCCCATTGCCAAGCCCAGCAGGGACCAAGAGGGGCTTTTCTGCCACACACTAAGTTCAGTTCAGCTGAGGTCTTGGTGCTTTCAACTTGGCTGAAGCCACTCTCTAATTAAAAGACATCCCCACCATCACCACAGTCCTCAGCTTTAGGCCTCTTAGGCCGAGTTCTTAGGCTGACTGATTTATGTCAAGCCAGACTTCTCTATAAGAGGTCTCTCTGTGAAAGGAGATCAGTGTCCCAGCCACTATGGAGGTCAGTGGGTACAGTGGGGAGAGCTCCCCAGCCTCCCCTGGAAACCTCCCCAGGGGGTTTTAGTTTGCATGGGAAAAGAATGATAGGCCAACATTAATAACAGTCCTATGACTTGAGATGTACACTCTCTCTCCTCAGCTTCAAAACAGCTTGAGTTATCTCTCCCCAGCCTTCCTGGGAGGCAAGGAAGGGCCATTCACAACTGGACATTAGAGGCCTGAAATTAAGACAATATTCAAAATCACAAAGGTTTCTGGACAAACCAGAAACACTGGCCTCCTGATTCCCAGTCAGGTGCTCCATCTGCACCCTTCCAGCCAAGCCCTTCAGTTTGTCTCCCACCTAATTGGCAACTCTGAAGCCTCTGGGAGGCCAGCCTCCCTTTGGTCTCTCAGAGCACGAGTGCTAGCAGCTCTTCCATTGACTCTCTAGAAGCAGTGGGGTGATGGAAGTGATATGGGTCCCCATGAGTCAGAGGTCAGGTATCCTAGGGTGGGAGGAGTCCTTTTGTGGCTGGGACTCTGCAGGGAAATCTAGGGGCAGATGTCTGAAGAGACTGGGGTTCTCTGCTGGAAAACACAAAGGGACGCTTGCTTAGGAAGAAAAGCAGGGCTGTTCTCATGAGAACATATTTCTAGGGGATTATAGGACATCCCACCCTACTTCAGCACTGCTTAAAGTTAAGGTGAAAGAGATTGGAGTCCTTTGACAGTGGAGTCTCCTGGGTGGCTGTCCCCGTGTACTGATGGGCCAGGTCACCTTGGGGACAGCTCATGACCCTCTGGCAGGCCTCAGTGCCCTTGGGGGTTAACAGGCCAGGTGGATCAAGAGCCTGTGCTGCAGACAGACTCGGGAGGCTGGTGCTGTGCCCACCGGGGTAGGCAGCGGGCAGGCGTCATGAGACAGCCAATCAGAGTTGGAGGGGACTGCAGAGAGACAGAGTGATCCTGCTGCAGCCGAGCTGTCCTTGGAGGGTGGGAGCCAAGGGAAAGGGAGGAGGATGGGGTGGGGAACGACATTCCACAAGCTGTTTTGGCCCCTGACAGAGACAGGGAGTGGGGAGGAGGGGGGCCAAAGAGAAAGGGAAAGGAACAAGCCAGGAAGCTGGATTACAAGAGCATTGAGACCAGGTTGTTTCCGTGTGTGAGCAACTTTTCCTGGGGGATAAAATTAGACCTAGAGCTTGCCGACAGGGTATCTGAAGTGTGGGAGGGACATGGACCATTCACTGGGATGGCAAGGTAGTTCTGTCCCTGAGGACAGGACTGAAGCTGGGGTAAGGTGCTACCCTGGGAGCTGGGGGTGGGGAAGGACAGGCAGCAGGTGAGGAGGAGCCTAGTGCCTGACGCCTTGTCTAGGGCCTCTGTGGGCCGCTTCCTGCTGACAAGTAGCCAGGACTGGCAGGGAGAATGATGCTGGGTTCCTGGTGACTTTTGGAAGACTGGATGGTAGGGGTCCCAATCAGGGCCTTCCTTTCTCTTTTAACTGCTGCCCCTATGCTCAGTGCTCCTGGGGAAACCAGGTGGAACACAGTCTTCTTTCTTCCACCCTGACCAACTGCTGGGTCACGGTGGGGTCATGCAGAGAGGCGGGATTTCCTGGAATTCCCCAGACTCTAGCTGCCAGAAAACAGGACCTGTGGAACCCCACCCTCCTCAGTCCCATCTCTTCTCTGTTGCATATAATTAATTGTCCAAGCCGGGACACTTTTGAGAGTGAAAAGGGGCACAATTAATCATTATGCTGCAACAACAAACAAACTGAGATGTACAGTTGCTCCATGGGATCCCATAAATACTTTTGCTGAGAAGAGCCTGTTAGGTCAGGCTTGCTTCAGGACACCCTCTTTCGGTCACTAAGCCCCCACATGCTGGTTCCAGTTTCAGTCTAAAGGGCCTCTTTCCTTCCCTCTGTCCAGGCAAGCCTTGGAGATGATGGCTATAAGCAGGTGTGGGGACTTGAGAGGTGACAGCCTAGAAGTAGTTCTTAGGGGACTTTTCCCTGTAGCCTCTAAATCACTTCCCTCTAGCATAAACCTGGCAATGTGTATGTCTGCCTCCTTCAATTCTTCCCTTTGTAAAAAGGGGACCTGCAGAAGACTGTGGCCATCTTCTCTCCCTCCACCCTGGCCGGGTCTCCACAGTGGTCCGGGATAGCCCCCACTGGCTTGGCCAATCCCCAGGGAGTGAGTCAGCCTCTGAAGCCAGCCCTTGTCCATTGTCTGGAGGTGGCATGTGGGTATTGTGAGGCAGAGCTGAGCCCAGCACTGCCAGGCACTCCACAAAGGGGACTGGCCCCCAAAGGAGAGAGGAAGTTTTAGGGTCTAGAGTTGGTGGCAGGAGTGGGGGGAAGTGGCCTCTCTTCCAGGTTGGGAGATGGGGTGGAACAGGTCTCTACACAGAGCCAGTCATTGTTTGTCCACCCCACTGTGGTTCACCATTGGGGCCAGATCCCTTCCTGGGTGGCTGGCTGAATCTTACTCGAGGCAGAGGGGGCAAAAGACAACCGATGGGTGCTGTCTCCTATGTGTCCCTCACAGGTAGGGGCTGTCAGCAGCCTAGTGTCCTCCCATCCTCCCTCACTGGGTCCCTTCCAGCTCCCTTCTACCCTGCACTCAGCATCCACTGGCGGGTTTGCCCTAGTCTCCTGGGGCCTACCCTCAGGCTCTGGTGTGGCACAGTGTCTGGAATAAGGGACAGAGGTGTCAGATCAACTGTACTGAGCTCCGGGCAGTGAGCCCTGGAGAGTGAGCACCCCCAGTAGAGTCTGCGTCTCCCTCCCAGAGCTCACTGACCTGCAGTGACAGGAGGCACAGGGCCCTCTGCTGGCTCTTGATTTACCTGGGGCTGGCAGGTCCCTTCTCCCCTCCCTACTTCCCTCCTGCCCCTGTCCCATTCTGACTGACTCTCTGCACTGTCCTTGGATCCTGAGCCCGCATCCTCGTCTCAGTTCTAATGCCTCTGTTGCTCCCCCTTATTCAGTCTGACTTCCTGGCCTTTAGGGCATTCACTGGCCTCTGGCTTGGCCAGACCCCCCAGGAAGGGCAGGGCAGCAGGCACCCTGTCAAGAGGGAACATCAGGACTGGAGCTTCTCTGATCCCAAGAACAGTTGCTGCCTGCAACAACTGGGGGCTGCCTAGGGCTGCTCCAGGACTCCAGGGTCTTTCCTGGCATCTCGGCTGGGGAGGCACATGAGCAGGTGAGGGAGGAATGGTGAGCACTTCCTCTGGCTTGGCTGCTAGTGCAGTTTCTTTTCCCTTCTAACCACAATCACTTTCCTCTCTCTCCCTCTCACCTTCTCTGGACTTCCTCCTTCATTCTTCCCTTCATGCCACCTACCCACTCCCCCCCATCCTCCCACCACCTCCCCTCCAACCCCCAGATCAAGCGCTTCCTGGAGGCCACGGATGACACAGAACTGAACAAGTTCGTGAAGGATTTCCCAGGAAGCGAGAGCTGCCACCAACCAGAGGCCAAGACCTGGGTGTCCAGGCCCCAAGTTCTGGAGCCAAAGCCCCAGGCCCCGGACCTCTACCAGGATGACCTGGAGTTCAAAGGCCCCTCGTGGCCCCAGCCCTCTGACAGCCAGCAGTACTTCTCTGCCTCAGCCCCTCTCAGCCCCTCAGCCCGACCCCGCAGCCCATGGGGCAAGCTTGATCCCTATGACTCCTCTGAGGTAGAGCCTCCAGCCCTGTCTTTGCCTTTCAGTGGGCTGGTGCTGGAAGGCCCAGGGAGGGAGCAGAGAGATCCCGAGTGTCTGTGCATGTATGTGCATGTGTGTGTATAGGTGTGCACATATGCATGCATGCATGTTGAGCTGGGGCCTCTCCTGTCTAGTGTCAGCACCAGTTCTGCGGTGTTGGCCCCCAGGTGCATTGGAAACTGACTATCAGCAGGGGCAGGAGCCCTGCTGGTGGCCCCAGATGGGGCCTCAAGGGAGTTTGACACCATTCCTCTAGGGCTGGGGCAAAGACCTAGGAGGGAGGGAGAAGGTGTTGGGTCCTCGACCCCTCCTGCCTCTCACTCTGACACACTCTGCCTTCCTGTCCATTAGGATGACAAGGAGTATGTGGGCTTTGCGACCCTCCCCAATCAAGTTCACCGAAAGTCTGTGAAGAAAGGCTTTGACTTTACCCTCATGGTGGCAGGTAGAGCTGGGGAAGGGCTGGGCTAGGCAGGGGGTGTTTCAGGTGGGGCTGGTATGTATTTGGGGAGGAGGTATAGGTAAGGAAGGAAGAAGCAGCCAGCAGCCATGCAGTTTTGCAAAGTAGCCATGAGCCATGGGTGGCCAAAAGTGTGTATGTGTGTGTTGGGGGGAGGGGGGTTGAAATGGTACAAAGAACACCTGACCAACAGTTTTCTAGTATTTGCCTTGTTCTGTGTGACCTTGGGCAACCTCTTATCCTCACGGAGCCTCATTCAAATAAGAAGGCTAGACAAGCTGTTTTCTCTGCTTCCTTCTGGCTCTACAACGCTATGGTTCAGTTGGTCTCTTCCCAGTTTGATGAAAAAGCAGCTCTCTACACACCTTGTTCTGGTGGGGTTGCCTTTTGGCTATAGATCTTATCTTCTGTCCTCTCTCGCCTGTCAGGAGAGTCTGGACTGGGGAAATCCACTCTTGTCAATAGCCTCTTCCTCACTGATCTGTACCGGGACCGGAAACTCCTCGGTGCTGAAGGTAAGGCAAGGAGAGGGGCATGGAGACTGGCATGCAGACTTGACTTGGGAAATCAAACTCATGCCACAGCCTGGGGGCTGGGGCCTTCCCCAGCATGCAGGAAACCATGGCTTCCTAGAGGGCCTTGACGGCATCTCTCCATAGGCCTATCTAGCCTGGCAGCCCACCAGCCAGCTCCCTAAAGATTTGGGTGCTGAAGCCAGGCAGGGACCAGAATCCTGCTCTCTGAGTGAGTCTCTGACCCCCAAAGGATTCCAGGAATCCAAGAAAAGAGCCGGGAGCAGAGAAGAGGCTGGGGCCAGAGCCAACAGCCACCGGCATTTCCTGTGTTGGGAAATGTGCTCCTTGCTGGTTCCCAGAGAACAGGCCCCCAGGCGGCCTGGGGTGGGAAGGGGGGCACTGTGGATGAGGCATTCTGGGCAGCAAAGCTGATTGGGGTGGGCGGTTTGTCCTGACTGGGCAGGTCCTTGCCCTTGCCCTGGTCTCAGTTTCCCTTTTCTGCAGAGCGGATCATGCAAACTGTGGAGATCACTAAACATGCAGTGGACATAGAAGAGAAGGGTGTGAGGCTACGGCTCACCATTGTGGACACGCCGGGTTTTGGGGATGCAGTCAACAACACAGAGTGGTATGTCTGACCACGCAGAGCCCCAGCTGCCCCCTTCCCATTACACACACACATACATCCACGGATGCACACATAAGCACAGACATAGCCACAATTGTCAGGAGTTTATGGCCTTTGAGCATGCCACCACCCTTTACAGGGCAGCTGAAGTGAGAGGAAAAGAGTGGGAATAGAAGATCTTTTTTTGTTTATTTTTTCCTATTTATTTATTTATTTTTAATTTACATCCAACTTAGTTAGCATATAGTGCAATAATGATTTCTGGAGCAGATTCCAGTGATTCATCCCCTATGTATAACACCCAGTGCTCATCCCAACAAGTGTCTTCCTTAATGCCCCTTGCCCATTTAACCCATCCCCCCACCCACAACCCCTCTAGCAATCCTCAGTTTGTTCTCTGTATTTAAGAGTCTCTTATGTTTTGACCCCCTCCTTGTTTTTATATTATTTTTGCTTCCCTTCCTTTATGTTCGTCTGTTTTGTATCTTAAATTCCACATACGAGTGAAGTCATATGATATTTGTCTTTCTCTGACTAATTTCACTTAGCATAATACTTAGCATCTTGCAAATGGCAAGATTTCATTCTTTTTGATTGCTGAATAATACTCCATTTTGTGTGTGTGTGTGTGTGTGTGTGTGTGTGTGTGTGTGTGTGTGTCACATCTTCTTTATCTGGGAATAGATGATCTTTAATGAACTTTCTGACTCTGACCTAATGTACTTTCTGTAATGGGGGTGAAGACACAAGATAAGAAAGAAGAGCCTCAAAAAAAAGCAAACACATGTGGAAACATGTAGCACAGGGCCAGACATCTAGTAGGGGCTCAATAAACACCACCTCCCCTCCTTCCTTTTCTTTCGCCAGCAACATTTTAGGTGCCACAAACAAGTTTATTAAAGGGATGAGAGTGCACTGAGGGAGTGGTGAGGAGGAGAAAGAGGAGGCAAAGGGTAAAAAAATAGGTTGAACTTTGTTTAAATTCCAGGCGTCCTCTAGGCTACCTTCCAGAAGAAGAGGTGGCTTTGCCACATACCCCATCATCCTTGGCTTTATTTTTTCAGAAACTGGAGGGATGCTTAGATAATGGTCAGACCTAAGTGAGTAGATGAGAAGGAGGATGAATGATAAAGACAGGAGAAAAGGTGGTGCCCTTGATGAAGAAGTTAGGCAGGCAGTGTTAAGATGGCTAGCCCAAGAGTTCAGATCTTGGGTCAGCATACAGTAACTGCGTGGTCTTCAGCAAATGACTGCATTCCTGTTTCTTCAGTTGAAACATACTGGCCCTTACCATCTTATCCAGTTGATCTGAAAATCACCCAGAATGATGCATGTGAATGTGTATTAGCAACTAAAGTAGGGTGTCCAGGTGGCTCAGTCGGTTAAGTGTCCAACTCTTGGTTTCAGCTCAGGTCATGATCTCACGGTTCATGAGATGGAGCCCTGTGTTGGTCTCTGGGCTGACAGTGTTGAGCCTGCTCAGGATTCTCTCTCTCCCTTTCTCTCTCTCTGCTCCTTCCCTGCTCACGTGCATGCTCTCTCTCTCTCTCAAAACAAATAAACATAAAAAAACCCCTAAAGTAAAGGGTTGTTTACATTATACCTATTATAATTGCAGCACCAGTACAAAATGTAAATGCAGGGCCCCTTGGTTAGAATGATTAAGAATTTCAAGACAGCCACAGCAGAGAAGTAAACCAAGCATAGGCCCTTCTGAGATCAGGACCTGCTGTTGATTGCACAGTTTGCATTCCCAGAAAGCTGACCCTGGGTAATTGCCTCACAGACTCATCAGACTCTTACAGACCTTTCTGTGCTCTGAGTCCTCGGCACATGCTTTATCATTAAAACATGTGATTTTCAGCTCAGCACTGAAAGATGAACCAGTGTTCATCTTCAGCTTCAGTGTCTTAGTCTTGAGGGGAGGGCCATTTTTTCTTATATTCTTGCCACAGCACTGTGCTGGCACATGGTACATGGTCTCCTGATGTAAATATTCCTGATGGATCGAGGTGGCCTCTGTGTCATCATCACCCTTTTTACTCTCGGTATATGCCTCAGTACACTGGGCTTGCCATGACACTGTACCCAAACCAGCACCTGGTTCGTACTGTAGCAAGTATCACCCTCTCCTTCAATCAACCTACGTACCTTTCCTTTCCTTCCACAAGAATAATCATTTCATTTGCTTGGCACTTCACAGTATACAGTGCACCTCCACATATACTTTAGTCAACAAGTAGGAGTTTATTGAGCATATACTAGGTGTCCAACCAGTGCTGGGCATTTTAAGGGATACAGAACAAGTATGAATCATCCTTGTCACTGAGAGGCTTATGGTCTAGTGGCAGCGGGGATGGGAAGGGTTGGCAACAGTTCTCTAACATATGTGTCAATCAACTTCAGTTAGTAAATAGGTCAGACAGTGTAGTGGCAGACACAGAGGCAAGTCAGAAGGCCAAGTGTGTATATGTATACATATATATTTACAGTGTGGTGGAGAGAAGGGGAGAATAGTGTACATAGATGTACACTGGAAGGAGCCTTCATGGAAGGGTGGGTTTAGAGTAGAAACACATAAATAAAGATTCTGAGGCTGGACTGTGAATGTGACTGAGGGCTGTCCTGGCTTCCAATTGGTGTTCACCTGCAGGCACCTTATTCTTATTGGTTTGTTTGGTCACCTAGGCTTTTTTCCTCTCATCAAACTAGCATTTATTGAACTTTGCCTGTGTGCTTAGTCTGATTTTCTATTGGGACATGTCAGATGCACCCCTGTCCCACCCAGGGACCTCCCTGAAGATGTAGTAAAGCAAGCCAGGGGATAACAGAGTCTTGAAAACACTGCTCAGGATGTGGGCTACTCTGTAGTCCCAAAGCTCACGAGGCAGCCCCCACTCCCACAGTTTCTCTGCTTGTCTGTCCCTGCTCCAGCTGGAAGCCTGTGGCAGAATACATCGATCAGCAGTTTGAGCAGTATTTCCGAGATGAGAGTGGCCTGAACCGCAAGAACATTCAAGACAACAGGGTGCACTGCTGCCTGTACTTCATCTCACCCTTCGGCCACGGGTATGGTCTGAGCCTGAGGCTCCCAACACTACCAGGTGCTGCCAAGGGAACAGGCTGGGAGCACCAGGGCAGGGCTGCCACTAGCAGGTGGTCACAGATTCCTATCTCCCAGGCTCCGGCCATTGGATGTTGAATTCATGAAGGCCCTGCATCAGCGGGTCAACATCGTGCCTATCTTGGCTAAGGCGGACACACTGACCCCTCCTGAAGTGGAGCGCAAGAAACGCAAAGTGAGGGAAGCCGGTGGGGGGAGGGTAGCAACTGGGCTTCTGGAAAGGATGGGGTCCCCAGAACTGTGGGCCCTCATGTGTTTGCCAGATCCGAGAGGAGATTGAGCACTTTGGAATCAAGGTCTATCAGTTCCCAGACTGTGACTCTGATGAGGATGAAGACTTCAAATTACAGGACCAAGCCCTAAAGGTGGGGCTACGCGAGGGCATCCCTTTCCATCTTGTTTCTTCTGGGCAGAAGAGGGAAGTGGAATTCTATATAAGGGGTGGGAGAGCACGCTGCTTTTCTAGAGTGAAGCAGAAAAGATAAAGATATAGGTGAAAAAGAACAGGTGAGAACAGGGAGTATTGACCAGGCACCCTTAACTTCTTCCAGGAAAGTATCCCATTTGCTGTAATTGGCAGCAACACTGTGGTAGAGGCCAGAGGGCGGCGAGTTCGGGGCCGTCTCTACCCCTGGGGCATTGTGGAAGGTAAAGCATTGAGCTGGTGACCTGGGTATCTCCTTGCCCTCAGTGGCTCTCCCAGTGCTCCTGGTTGACCCCTAGCCTTGCTGTGCAGTGGAAAATCCAGGACACTGCGACTTTGTGAAGCTGAGGACAATGCTGGTGCGTACTCACATGCAGGACCTGAAGGATGTAACACGGGAGACACATTATGAGAACTACCGGGCACAGTGCATCCAGAGCATGACCCGCCTGGTGGTGAAAGAGAGGAATCGCAAGTATGACCAGAAGCCAGGACAGAGCTGGCAAGGGTGGGGATCCCAAGCACAGCCTTGAGTGAGACCAAGCCCTTCCTTTGTTCTTCTACAGACCCTGGGCTCAGTCCAAGCAGGTGCTGGGGTCCCCCTAGCCTTACCAACCCTCCTTTCCCCTTCCCCTCAGCAAACTGACTCGAGAGAGTGGTACCGACTTCCCCATCCCTGCTGTCCCACCAGGGACAGATCCAGAAACTGAGAGGCTGATCCGAGAGAAAGATGAGGAGGTGAGAGCAGTGTGGGGTGGTAGGGGTTGACAGCCTGGGGGCAGTCCCTGCTTAACTATAAACCTCAGTATTTCTATCTGGGTTTAATGGTCCATTAAACCACCTGGACTTGTGGTTTAATGGTTCTACCCAGGGTCTCCATCACACCTCTGGGCTTCCATGGCCCTGGCTCAAGGGAGTAGAGCTTGGGGGCACTTTGTTAACACTATAGGACTCTCTAAAAGGCCCCATTTTGATGGGTGTGCCTGTTCCAGCTGCGGCGGATGCAGGAGATGCTGCACAAAATCCAAAGACAGATGAAGGAGACCCATTAGCTGGCTTTCAATCCTGGATATTTAAATCTCCTCTTCATCCTGCCCAGGCCGGCCCGTCCCAGCACCAGCTCTGCTCAGGCCCCTGCAGCTACTGCCACTTCGCCTTACATCCCTGCTGCCTCCCCAGAGACTCAGAGGAAATAAAGTTTAACAAATCTATGGCTGCCATATGGTGTCACTGTCTGTATTTTTACCAGCCCCTGGAGACCAAGAAGATCCTAGGACCCACTTTTGAAAGGGTGCTGAAGGAGGGTGCTGGTTTCTGGCTTTTAGTAGGGAAAACTTTCCTTTCCTATGACAGGTTTCAGTCCCTGCCTAGAATCCAATCTGGCCTCTCCATCACACTGACCACAGCTCTATTATCTAGGGCCTGATCGCCTCTTCATCTTTCCCACATACAGTAGTTTCAGTTCTATAGAAGATTTGGATCTGAAATCTGCTTTTGGGAAAACATGGTATTACCTGCATGCAGCCTCCTGACTTCCTTTTTTCCCTGATTTGGGGAAAGGGATATACAGAATTAAACTCTGCACTCTAGGAAGCCTGTGATACAACACTGAACAAATACGGAAACCCTTGTGATCTTCAAAAACTGTAGTAAGTGCTAGGAGTAAAGTACAATCGTTGTCCTGGAAGAGTTCAGTAGTCATTTAACAAATATTAAGCATCTGCTAGGTTGCAGACGCTGTTCTAGATCCTGGAGTTAAAGCGAACACGGGCAAGGTTCCTGTTTTGCTGGAATTTACCAGCTGTGGTAAAAGTTCCAATGTTCTATAAACAAAGACACGTGAAGACAGTTTTGTCCCCAGGGGCTAGTATTGAAGCATTCAGGCCAACTCCCAAAGTGAAGCTATCGGTCGAGAGTCTGAATCAAGGGTTCTCCATTTAGGCTGGGTTGGTGGTGTCGCACGGCCACGGCGACCTCCAGTGGCCACCTTCAGCCATGCTGCCTGCTCTGGTTCCCCGGGGCCGGGGAGGGAGAAAGGGAGGAGCGAAGAGCGGGGTGAGTCCTGTTCCCACTCCTTACAGACCAGGAGGTCGCAGCTAGCTAGTGGCAACCTGAGATCCAGATTTCATTTCTCACAAGTGAGAGATCTTTACTCAGGACTGACGGCACCATGCAGGTCCCGAAGGACGGCAGGGTCGATTCACCGATGCAAAGTGAGGGTTGGAGGAACCCGTCAAGATGCAGAAGAGAGGAAACCCTTTCGCCTCCAGTCGAAGAAGACCGAGGCAGAGCCTCGAGCCTAGGCCTGCCTCCTCCCTTAGCCCGCGGGGTCTTTTCTCCCTTTCTGGGTTTGGGACGCGATGACCGCAGCGAAACCAAAACTGAAATGGATAAACTGAGGTGCCACCGGGGATCTATTTGAGAACTACACCCAAAGCACGGTCGTTGCCGGAAGTGGCTGTAGGGCCACTACCAGGCCCCGCCTCCAATTGCGCTACCAGTAGGCGACAGCCACCCCCCACTTCCGGCCCCTGGAGCCTAAGCCAGCAGCCCCCCTTTTACTGCTCTCCCATTGGCTGCCGCAGGGACGCGCTGTGATTTCTCATTGGTCGAGCCTCCTCTCCGGGGCCGCACCTCCTCCTCCCAGGTACTGTCTTGTCTTCCGACGCCCGATAGGCTAAAGGCTGGGAGGGCGTCTGCCCTATTTGACCAATGAGCGGAGTGAAGAGTGAGGGCGGCGGCTGCGTGGTGGGGGCAGGGCGGGACTTGGTGTGGCTATTGGCCAGGGCGCGCACAGACCGGAGATACGATTGGTTGGGGTAAGAGGCACCGTGGTGGGGTCGAAGCTGCGCGGCCTCAGCAGCTGGGGGAGACGGAAGTGGTGAGAGCGCGGCCTCGGAGGGTCGGGCGGACGCCGCCTGGGTGAGTCACCGTGCCCCGTGCACTGCCAGTCTGGGAACCGCAACGACTGCGTCTTGCCCCGCCCCGCCCCAGCCCCTCCGCTTTTCATGAGCCCCGCCCTCTGTCATTCGGGGCCCCGCCTTCGAATCTTTAGGCTCCGCCCCTAGAACCTGGACACCTGGGCTCTTCTGCCAGCCTGGCCCGCCCCCCCTCTACCCCCTCGCCCCGGGGCCAGATCCCCTTGGTCTGGGAGCCCTGGGCATCGCAGGTCTGGTCCTTGTTCTTCCCTTCCTCCCTCCCTCCGTTTCCCTGAGGCTGCGTGCCAGTGGGCGGTGAGGCAGCACCTCTGGCTTGCCGCTTGCTGGCTCCCCCGTGAGGAAGGGTGGGCTGTGATCAGGGAGGCGGGCAACACCACAGATGGAGGCTTTTATCCCCACAGACTTGGCGCAGGGCACTGCTGGACTGCTTCTGAGTTCGGATAGCAGGCATGAAGGAAAGTGTCAGTAAAACCGGGGCCTGGCTCCCTAAGTGGGCCAAGGAGGCCCATCCTGAATTTCTGTTGCTTAGGCCCATTTGACAGGTACTGACTCGGAGGCCTTGAACTGGCCTGATTCTGTCCCTGTTGTGTGTGGCCTCCTACAATCCTGCATCCCACTTGGTGTCAAGTACACTCAGCAGGCCCTATCCAACGCCGCTGCCTTCTGCTCACAGGTTGTGGTCCCCTCCCTCTTGTCCTCTGCTCTGGACTCTGCCCCCAGTAAACAGGTCAGGTGGGTGCTACTCCCAGACTTAGAGGCTGGCAGAGCATTCCTGTGGATTCATATCCCTACCAAGGCCTGAAGTAAGTCTTGGTTGTGTAGCTTCTCGTTTCAGAGTTGGAAGTTCCTTTGCTCTCCCAAAAAGAATAGGGTTTGGAGTGTTCTCCTTCGGGTCTCAGAATCAGGACTCTTGAATTCTGCTGAATAATCTTGGATGACACTCATTCCTGCTCCAGAACTTTGTAACTGACTTCATGCCCTGCAGAATCACTTGTTGCTTTTCTCCCCATGTAGCTCGCATTGCCTCTGTCTGGCATGGGGACTTGTGGAGAGGCTGGATTCTCTGTGAGATTCTCTGTTAGAGGTCCGGAGTAGGTGTGTGGCATTTGCTGATTCTAAGGTAATATTAACGGTGCTCTTGAATCCTATGTTTCTCTGTCTTCTTACAGTAAGAAGCAGGCAGCCAGGACCCTCACCACAGTAGAATGGTGAGTACTCTCCCTTTCCTCAGATCGTTGTGTTTTCTGTAATCCTGTCTTTCTCCATGAAGCTGCCCTGCCCCTCCTGGACCTTGAGCTCCAGGCTACTCTGTTCAGCTCCTAAACAGGTTCATCTGCGCTGGAAATAAATTAGGGTTTCTGTAGATTGCAAAACATCAGCCAGTATATGGCCCTGGGACAGGGAGCCTGTAGAAGTCTTTTTTTGCACATGCTATGCCATGCGTTCCCTATACTACCTACCACTGGCACTCTTAGCCTTTTATAATGGCCCTTCTCTTGCTTTTCTTGGGTCCCTGGTGGAAGCTCTCTGTTCTCTTTGTTCTGGCCTGAAAAACCAGGTCTCCTTTATCTCAAGATTCTTGTACTTCCTAGTGGGCCCCTTGGATATTGTGGGTCCTGTATCAGGAGTGACTCCACCAAAACACTGGGGCTTCTCCAGCTCTAAGGTGCTGCTGTCTGTTAAGCTACTGCAGCCAATAGCTAACTGGATATACAGCAGGACAGCAGCCTCAAGATGCCCAGAATATCACTGGGCTGTGCTGGGGATGGGTTAGGGAGGGGGTTGTAATGATCCTGTATACTCTTCCACTGACTGTAAGTGCCCTTGTCTCACCTCAAGTTCAGGGAACCCCTTACTTTATCCCTGAGAACTAGGAGAGGAAGCAGTGAGATGAGAAGAGAGTGGAGAATTGTGGGCCCTGGCCCATACCAGGCTCTTGCTCTTTTCAGTTCCTTTAGGTATCTTCTGTACTTAGGGACATGTTAGGGAATTCAGCTGGTGAGAGGACTCTCTCCTTCCCTCCCTAGGCATGTGGGTATGTGGTGTGTGCGGTACTGTTCTGGTATCTTCTTAGAAAGCTTGCTGGTCTTGGTCCCCACCAACTGATAGCCCCTTTCCTTTTTCTTTTCTGTAATACCCTGAATAGACTGTTGGCTTCAGGGTTAGCCTAGTTTAATTTTGAATCCTAGCACCACCACTTAAATAGCTTAGGTAAATGGCATACTTTCTTTTTAAGCCTGATGTCTCACCAGTAAAACAGGATAAGGCTTAATTCTTGGGGAGCTGAAAGGTTTTAGTGAGATAATATTTGGAACATGTATGGCTCATAGTAGATGCTTAATGCAATGTCAGGTTTTCTCCTATTCCTCCCTTGCCCTCAAATCCAAACCAAAGCCCTGGTTTCTGAAAGTAACCAGGCACAGGAAAGTGTGGGATTCTCACCAGCTCCTTCTGTGACTCCTGGTGGCACTTTGAGCCTTTCACTGCTCCCTATTCCTCGGCCCTCTACCCAACTCCCTCCATACTCTCGGGTTTCAAGTTTTATTCTGCATGCTTCTGTGGTCTGTAGTTCCAGTCTTCTCTTTCCCAGCCTAAAAAATTCTTTTCCAAGAAAGACTTTCTTACCCAGATGTCAGAGGATGTGAAACAAGGGAGATATGGAGCTTAAAGAGTAGGGTTGGGCAGGGGTCTTAGAATAAAACACTTAGAGAACTTCCCTTTCAGGAGTGTGGAGTGACTAACTGGCATAGATCAGTGTACGTTCTAAGGGGCAAAAAAAGGGAACGGGATTTAGTGACGTTAGGGGATGGGAGGACACTGATGGACAGGGGTATGGTGGGTGGTGGTTTGGGAGGGAAAGGAAGAAGCCTTGGAACTGGAAAGGTCACTGGGTGGAGGTAGGCGAGCTCCATTTTGAGAATTCAGAACAGGCTTTGAGGGAACTCAAGGTGGGGAGAGCATGGGGATGGAGTGGGAAAAGGGGGGTGTGGGGTGGCTCACCTGGGAATATGGGAAATGAAAAGATGTAGGAGGTCTTGCCTTACCTTTTCACGCTATCTGGGGGCAGTCCCGCACCCCAGACTTCAAAAGCCCCTAGACTTCCCCAGAGGACGCCCTCGCACGCTGCGGAGGGGCTCCGAGGAGGGAGGAGCCTTGGAACTGTGGGCGGGGCCGCAAGGTTCCGCCCCATCCCTCCTCTCGCAGCCTGGGTCTCTCCCCTCTCTTATGCGCTCGTGCGGGAGGGCGGAGCCGGGCTCGCTCCATTGTGGAGAGTAGGGGAGAGGCGCGCGGGAGTCCGCGGAGGCCCTGCTACCAGCGCGCTCGCCTCCTGGCCGCCGCGGCTGCCCCTGGCAGGCACCGCAGCCGGGATGCGGCGGGCGCCCGGCACTGGCGGGCAGCGCAGCGGCTCCGGGGACATGTGCGCTGGCCCAGACCGCCCGCGACCATGAGCCTGACCGCCCGCGTCTCCTGCTCTATGCTCAGCTGCTTCGTAAGTGTTGGCCTCGCCTGCGGGGGCCCAGGGGTCCTAATGCATGCTGCACCCCCAGCCCCGCCCAGGTCCAACCCTTGAGATTCCGGATTTTCGCCCATCCCCCTTCCCTAGGCCCCTGGCAGGGGAGCGGGGCGGGGGGGGGGGGGGGGTGGGGGGGGCGGCGGGTGGTTCCCTTTTCTTTCTTGGACTTGCTTTCATCTTCGGGTGCCGGGGGATGTGGAAGGACGGGATGGAAATTCTTTGACCCATCTTGGCCCCGGAGCCACTGCCCTTGACTGCAGATCTCCAGGCCCCGCCCTGCAGGGGTACATCCCTTTACCTCCACCTCTCCATCTTGGTCCCACCCGCTGCATCCTTGCATGGGGATGTGGGATGTGGCTGGGATGTTAGGGGGGCAGGTCGGGGAGCACAGAATGTCTGAGCTGTTCCCCTGGCTCCAGTCCCCTCCCCCTTCTACCACTCCAACCCTCACCTGACACGCCAGTCTTTTCTCCTTGACTGTCCCCCAGACAGCCTCTCTTCTCCATCTTCCCTGCCTCTGCAGGGCTCTGTACCTCTGCATCATTCCCAGTCCTCCCCCACCCCCTTTGGCTTAATGCTCCTTCCCAGCTTCCCCCATCTGTCCTCTCAGATGTTCCCACCCTTCCCCTCTCACCGCCCCCCTCCCCCATCCCTCGTGGGTGGCTGCCAGGCCTCCTCTCTCTCTCCCCTGGCCTTCCTTGGGTCTCCCGGTTTCTCCCAGGTGCGTGGATCCCCTCTTCACCCCTCCCTGGTGGTTGGGAGAGGAGTTACTTCTGCTTGCTGTGGTTATTCCTTAGGAATTCCCCTCTGATCAGGGGGCAGGGCAGGTTGCTTGGCAGGTGGTGGGGGCTCTTTAGCAGTGTGGGCCTAACTGGAAGATAAGCTCAGCTCCAAAAGACATCCTCCTTTTGAAAGCAACCATGAAGGCCCTCTAGAGGCTTGGGACTGAATCCCCCAACCCACTCCTCTTTGTCTCCCTCACCCACCAGATTGACAGGTCGTGGTCTTAGGTGCCTGTTTTCCCTCTCATCTCTAAAACCAGCAACCACACCTGGTTCCTTTTTCTCAGGGCAGCACTTCCCATTCTCACTTCTGTCTTACCCTCACATTAGTCTTTTTCTTAGTTTTCTCTCTTCTTCCGTTTGGGAAATTTTGGTTCTTTTTGGTTCTGCTGCTTTTTGAGGAGTGCAGATTCCCAGGTCCTCTTTGGACCTTACTCTTCCCTTAGGCATAATAGGCTTGAGTACCCCCCTGTCCCAACCAAGCCAGGCCTCTTTTCTCTCCTCTGGTGACCAGAACCTTTATAAGTGTGTATGGGGTGTATCCCGGTTTGTTGAGGGGAGGGGAGCAGAATGAGACCTAATGGGCCAAATGGAGCCTGGTGACTTAGGGCTGAGGCCTTCCCCACAGGGTGAGGAAGGGCCCCCCAGCCTGGAGTACATCCAAGCCAAGGATCTGTTTCCCCCCAAGGAACTAGTGAAAGAGGAGGAGAATCTGCAGGTAAGGAGGAGTTGGGGGCCCAGGGTGGGTTGAACTCTCTGCCCAATTAAAAACACCTTTTTTTCCCTCCCTTCAAAAAATATCTCCAAGGGAATCTAGTTCTGGGCTTTGGCTTCCTGTTTCCAGGTCTCTGGAGGGAGGGGAATCTGTCTACATGTGCATTGTAGAGCCTTTGGCCCCAGGGAGGGAAAGGCAGCTTTCCTGTACAGCTGTTGCCTGGTGCTGTTACCGTGGAGAGGACTCTTCTGTTCTGCCTTGGCCCAGCTTTTCCAGAGGGAATCCCACAGATCAGGGTTTGGGGAGGGGAATGGAGGGGTGACTCACTTCTGGACTGAGGGTTCCTCTGCCCTTCAACAGGTGCCCTTTACAGTGCTGCAGGGTGAGGGAGTGGAGTTCCTGGGCCGGGCAGCTGATGCCCTCATTGCCATCTCCAACTACCGACTGCATATCAAGTTTAAAGATTCTGTCATCAACGTGAGTTCCTGTCTTGTTCTCCCACAACCACGGTAGAATCCCTGTCTGGTTCAAGGTGGGATTGTTCCAATGCTCTACTTGATCGTGTCTCCAAACAGTTGGGGTTCTCTTCTTTTTCTCACCAACCTTTTATTTTCCTGCCTCGTTCTCCTAGCTATAGGTCTGTCTTTCTGCCTGTCTCTTATTCTTCCATCCCCTCTTCTCTCTTTCCTTTTACTCTGTTCCTGGCCCTTCTAAGGGGTGCAGTGGCATTGTTGGAAGAGTGCCACTTACCAACCGTGTGGCCTTGGTCAAGTCACCCTACTCAGGTCAATTTCTTCCCTAATAGTTTGTTGTGAAAACACTTGGCTTGCAGGGTTCTTGTGATTATTAATTAAGGCCCTGTATGTAGAGGACCCAGCACAGTTCCTAGGCACTTAACTGGCCCTCAGTAAATGTGGGTTTCCTTCCTAGTATTGATATATCCGCATCTGGGCTGGGGTGGGCATGAGGAGGGGTGAGAGTGGGGATCTGAGCTTTCGTTTGCCCTTCCTCTGAAGGTCCCCCTCCGGATGATTGACAGTGTAGAGAGCCGTGATATGTTCCAGTTGCACATTGCCTGCAAGGACTCCAAAGTGGTGAGGTGAGAACAATGGGGCTGCACGCAGGTCCTCTGGCCCTAGTCTTGCCCAGGCCTCTCTGATGCAGGGTTTCTCTGCAGCAAGAAAGGAAAAATCCTGCCTCACTTTCCCCATTTGGAAGAAAAGGTAGAAGCCCTGTCTAGGTTGGGAGGTCAGTTTACTGACCCACAGTATCTTGACCTGGAAAAATGGGGATAATGCATAGCTCATGGGGTTGTCATAAGGATTAAATAGGATAATGTATGAGAAAGCACCTAGGGTTAGCATACAGCACTTACTTTATTGTTGGTTCGTTTATTAATTCACTTAACATACATGTATTGAGTACTCTCCTCTATGGCAGACTGTTCTTTTTTTTTTTTTTAACGTTTATTTATTTTTGAGACAGAGACAGAACATGAATGGGGGAGGGTCAGAGAGAGAGAGACACACACAGAATCTGAAACAGGTTCCAGGCTCCGAGCTGTCAGCACAGAGCCCAATGCGGGGCCTGAACTCACGGACCACGAGATCATGACCTGATCCGAAGTTGGATGCTTAACCCACTGAGCCACCCAGGTGCCCCTATGGCAGGCTGTTCTAAGCACTGGAGATACAGCAGGAACAAAGAGACAAAATTTCCTACCCTCATGGAGCTTATATTCCATCGGAGAGATAGCCAGCAGTAAATAATGAGTAAAATATGTTAAATGATGGTAAATGAAAGGTGAAAAATAAAGCAGGTAAAAGGGATATGGAGTGCTATGGAGGTGAAGTTTGTAGCTTTAAACAATGTGATCACAGAAGGTTGCATTGCAAAGGTGACATTTGAGTCAAGACCTAAAGAGAGTGACCATGTGGATATTTGAGTGAAGAGGGTGCCAGAGAGAGAGCAGCGAGTGCAAAGGCCCTGAGGTGGGTATGTACCTAGCATATTGGAAGAAGAGCAAGGAAGCTAGTGTATAGCTGGAGTGGAGTGCATGTGGGTGAGGGTGGTGGAATGTAAGATCTGAGAGGTAAGGGGGGGTGTCAGGTTGTCATAATGACTGGCTTTTACTTTGAGGTAAATGAGAAACCACTGCAGGGTTTTGAGCAAAGGAGAGATGTGATCTGATTAAATGTTTTATAGAATTGCTTTGGCCGCTATATTGTGAATAGATGGAAGTGAGTTGGGGGCAAAAGCAAGGGCAGAAGCCGAGGGATTAGTTAAGCTATTGCAGTTAGCCAAGTGACAGAGCATGATGGCCTTGCTAGCGTGGTGGTGTTCAAACTGGTGAGGAATGGTCAGATTTTTGAAGGTAGAGATGACAGAATTTGCTCTCAGATTGGATATGAGAGAATTCCACGGATTATTAAAAGAATGCTCAGTTTAGAGGCTGTCATGTGCTCAGGTCTGTAGGGATTCAGAAAGAGAATCCACAGTGGCCTTGCCTTCAGGGAGGTTGAGGTCTAGTTGCTGAAGGAAGATTTAACAGTGGCAGTATGCTATGGAAAAACATACTGTTTAATACTCTAAGCATATTAAGAATAAAAGAGGAAGGGGTCTTAAAATGAACTGGGAAGGCTTCAAAAAAGAGTTGTGACCAGAACTATCTTCAAAGTGTCAGTAGGATGTGGCTTGGCCAAGACGAGGTATAGTCAAGCAGAAGTAAAGAAACAAGGAGACAGGAATGATGTGAACAGGACTCCTGCCTGAAGCAGGAGTCATGGGAGATAACGTGGAATAGCAGACATTCAGGGACATGCGGTAGCATTTAGATTTGATATGAGAAATGAAATGGTAGGGCCCCCCCACTAGAAGGTACAAGTATGTCTCAAGGACTAGAGTTCTTGGGAAGAGAATTGTCAAAAAGATAAATTCTCTTGGGTATTCACCAGTATCCCTGGTTCTCCTCAGGATCCCCATGCCTTACCTCCTGCTTTAAAGCCTCCTCTCCCCACAGCCTTCTTGTGGCCTTGTTTTTGACCCTTATGGCCCCAGTGCACACCTGCCTCTTATCTCACTCTGTGGCTTCTTGCCTGGCAGGTGCCACTTCTCCACTTTCAAGCAGTGCCAAGAGTGGCTGTCACGGCTAAGCCGGGCCACGGCAAGACCTGCCAAGCCTGAAGACCTCTTTGCCTTTGCCTACCATGCCTGGTGCCTGGGGCTGACTGAGGAGGACCAGCATACTCACCTATGTCAGCCAGGTAAGGCCAGGCTGTTTTCTTTGGAAGATTTCCTGTCTCTTGGTTCTTACCCTCCTCCACCCCTGGCCATGGTTCTGTTGGATGCTGACAGGCGTGGGGGCTGTGTTGCAGGAGAGCACATAAGATGTCGCCAGGAGGCTGAGCTCGCGAGGATGGGCTTTGATTTGCAGAATGTCTGGAGAGTCTCCCACATCAACAGCAACTACAAGTGAGAGGGCAGGGGTGGGGGAACCAAAATACCAATCTAGACCTAGACCTTGCCGGGCACAGCCCCTGGTTCTATGAGGGGAGGACTCCTGACTCACAAAGCCATCCCTGGGGATCTTGTCATCACATGTCTTAGATCAAGCTTGGTGATCCCATCTGTTCTCTTCACAGATTGTGCCCCAGTTACCCCCAGAAGCTGCTGGTTCCTGTGTGGATCACAGACAAAGAGCTGGAGAACGTGGCTTCCTTCCGCTCCTGGAAGCGGATCCCGGTGGTTGTGTATAGGTGAGGCGGTAGGGGACAGGAAGTAGAGAGGATACTTTTTATGCAATAAGGAAAGAGTCAAAACTGGAGATTTGTCCTAGTTGACCGGGAATTGACACCCTGCAGGGAATGAAATAATTTCAAATCAAAAACTGCCTCAGTTTTTTTCTCCTAAAGATGAGGCTTTTGGAGAGTACATTCACTTTACTCTTTTTTGGAGGGTGTGTGTGTGTGTGTGTGTGTTTGTGTGTGTGTGTGTGTGTGTGTGTGTGTGTGTGTGTGTAAAATGTTGCATTAGAACAAGAGTTGGCAAACTGTCGCCTGTGAACCAAATCTAGCCTGCAGCCTGTTTTATGTACAGCCCAGAACTACGAATGATTTTTATATTTTTAAAAAGTTATTTTAAAAAAAACAAAAACCAAGAAAACCAGAAAGGAGAATGTATGACAGAGACTGGCTATGACGTGTGAAGCTGCACATTTATTGTTTGTTTCTGTCTGAAAAAGCTTGCGGGTTCCCTGCAGTAGAACATTATAGCTAACATAGAGCAAGGCATATAATAGCGAGGAGGTTTGGAGTTGTTCTGCTCTGGGCTCAGGCTTGCTTTCCTGCTGGTGTCTGTACCTGGAGCAGGTGCTGTGCAGATTCAAGAAGTCAAGGTCACCCTGGCAATACAGAGCCTATTTGAGAAATGTGTATGACAGCACTTTCTATAAACTATAAAGCCCTCTAGATATGTCAAGGGCTCTTGGTGTTTATTATCATGGCCTGGGTGAACTGGTAGCCCCTGTTGGCTCTGGAGATCTTAGTTCTTGGGGCCTTGGTAGTAGGCCTGGGGGGTGGGAGCTGCAACTGGCAAGGGCATGATGGCTTCTTCCATTTTGTCAGACACCTACGCAATGGGGCTGCAATTGCCCGCTGCAGCCAGCCTGAGATCAGCTGGTGGGGCTGGCGCAATGCTGATGATGAGTATCTGGTCACGTCCATCGCTAAAGCTTGTGCTCTGGACCCGGGGACAAGGGCCACTGGGGGCTCCCTCAGCACTGGGAATAGTGATGCCAGCGAGGCATGTGACACTGACTTCGGTAAGGTGTGGGTGGTGCTTACGCCCTGGGGAGCAGGTCCCCTCCTTGGTCTCATTGGCTTTCAGGGAGTCCCCAGTGAGAGGATGGGAAGAAGATGACAACACACAGGGTGCCAGGGTCCCTGCCCTTTGGGAAGCTGTGGGGTGGCAGGGGACTATAGTTGTATGTTCTCCTCTGAAAGGGAGTGTCCCAGGGTAGGGTGAGGCTGGGCTGGCTGACCCAGGGTCTGCTCCCTGCCACATGTTTAGATTCTTCCTTGACTGCATGCTCTGGAGTGGAGAGCACAGCGGCCCCCCAGAAACTGCTGATCCTGGATGCTAGATCCTACACGGCGGCTGTGGCCAACCGGGCCAAGGGTGGAGGCTGTGAGTGTGAAGGTACTGCTGTTACCCCAGTGTCTGCAGTCAGTCTGTGCTCTGGGTGGCTTTGGTGAGGAGGGACCTGGGGGCAGCTCATGCAGTGGAAAGAGCCAAACACTTGGCTTGGAATCGGGACTCTGCCACTTAACTAGCTATGACTAAATTGCTTAATCTAAGTTTTATTTTCTTATCTGTCAAATGGGGTTGATAATAACAATTATTGGCTAGAGAAGCTACTATATATTGAGAGTTTACTATGTATTGCCATTGCTAGTAGTAACAGGACTATCATTTGTCATTAACATCATTATTACTACCGTTAGTATATGGCTCCTGAGCATCCAGACATAAGTGGTCTGCACTGCCAAGGAAGCCTGGCCCACTTGTCCTGGACGCCTGTTTTCAGGACATGCTCTTATGCTCCACTCTCCTCTGTATGTCTACAGAATACTATCCCAACTGTGAGGTCGTGTTCATGGGAATGGCCAATATCCATGCAATCCGGAACAGCTTCCAGTACCTTCGGGCTGTGTGTAGCCAGATGCCTGATCCCAGCAAGTAGGTGGTCCCTGCCCCAGTTCCATCCTGTCTTGTCTTGTCCTTCACCCAGTTCTAGTTCTTAGGAGGTGAGAGAGGGAACTGGGGAGTATAGAGGTATGGGAGACCTGAGAGCCTGGGTGCAGTGGGCCAGTTCCAAGATCACTTCTTCCGCTTTTTAGCCAACACTTTGGAACAGCCACAGGACACTGGGCTCCCTTTGTTTGGATCCTCTCCTACTTAAAGAACACAGAGGACTGGGGAAAGAATGGCTAAATGTGCGTGTGATGCTTCCCGTTCTCCCTCGGTCCCTAGTCTCTTGTCTACCTCAGGTCTTGTCTTCCTTCCTTTCCTGCCAGATACCTCCTGGCAGAAAGGCCACAGACTGGACCGCTTGGCTTCAGCCCTCCCTAGGGACTTCATTAGTTGTGGCTGGCCATGGGCGGTGGAAGAGACCATTGGATCCTCAGCGCCCTTGGTGACAGACTCGATTTCTGCTCTTGTGTAGCTGGTTGTCGGCACTGGAGAGCACCAAATGGCTACAGCACTTGTCGGTGATGCTAAAGGCAGCTGTGCTTGTGGCTAATACTGTAGACCGGGAAGGCCGGCCTGTGTTGGTGCACTGCTCAGATGGCTGGGACCGGACACCGCAGATTGTAGCCCTGGCCAAAATACTACTGGACCCATATTATAGGACGTTGGAGGTATTGAGTGGGGTTGGGTGGGAAAGAACAGAGGGAAAGGGGGGCGGAGAAGGCGTTGGGTCCTCTGGATCTGTCTTGGGGATCTTTCAGTGGAGGCCATGGGTGGCTTTGAGTCGTAGGATTGGTTCTGCTCTTCTCTGAAGCTGCCAGCTCCTTGCTTTGGGCATCCCCTGGGGAGTAGCATACCAGCCTTTCCAGAAAGGACCTGTACTTGGACTCTCTTTTTTGCAGGGCTTCCAAGTTTTAGTAGAGTCTGACTGGCTGGATTTTGGGCACAAGTTTGGAGATCGCTGTGGCCACCAGGAGAATGCAGAGGACCAAAATGAGCAATGCCCTGTGTTCCTCCAGTGGCTTGATTCCGTTCATCAGCTGCTCAAGCAGTTCCCCTGCCTGTTTGAGTTTAATGAAGCATTCCTGGTAAGTTAAAGCCTGTGGCCAGGGTCAGGGAGAAGGTGGCCGAGGCTCCCAGTTGCAAGCTGTCTTGGCCCTCTAGGTAAAGCTGGTGCAGCACACATACTCCTGCCTCTACGGCACGTTCCTGGCCAACAACCCTTGGGAGCGAGAGAAGCGCAACATCTATAAGCGGACCTGCTCTGTGTGGGCTCTCCTGCGAGCTGGCAATAAGAACTTCCATAACTTCCTCTACACACCTGGCTCAGACATGGTAAGTCCAAACCCTTATCCTGTCAGTGCTTCTTCGAGACCTATAAGGAGAACAGGCTGAGTCAGTGGGGAGAACGTAGAGCCAAAAGCTTGGGGAAGGAAGAGGGACCCGGAACAGCTCACAAAACACTAGTATGGTGCTGCTTCCCTAGGTCCTGCATCCTGTGTGTCACGTACGGGCCCTACACCTCTGGACAGCTGTTTATTTGCCAGCGTCGTCTCCATGTACACTTGGGGAAGAGACCATGGATCTTTACCTTTCCCCGGTGGCTCAGAGCCAGGAGTTTTCTGGCCGTTCTCTGGACAGGTAAGAAGATCCTTTCTTGCTCTCTTCTCTCCCCACCAGGAAGGCAATACTGCTTTGTGTCTAGCCTAACGTTCTCCTTCTTTTATGAGATATTTAAAAGCAACTTCTTGATATAGTTGAAGGAGAAACTTGGCCCAGGACTTGCAGCTAGCATGGAGTGTACTCTGTGTGTCTTCAAGGTCCTCTCCTAAGATAAGATTGGTTACCTTCTTTCCTGGAGCTGCTCTCACCCTTTGTGACCTAGCCAAGCAGAGGACAGGAGAATAGAACAGAAAGGACTGTTTCAGGAAGGTTTGTGGGAATGGGCTTGATTTATGTTCACTGATAGAAGGCATTGATGGGGCACTTCCAGAAGCATCTGATTCTCAGGGAAGTGGGTTTCCAGAAGAGGGATGGCCTTCATGTTCTCCCACAGGAAAACGCCAGAATTTAAAGTTTTTATCTTTTTGATTTATTTTGAGAGAGAGAAAGAGGAGAAAAAAAAAAAAAAAAAAAAGCGTGAGCTGGGGAGGGGCAGAGAGAAGAGAGAGAGAGAGGAGAGAGAGCATCCCAAGCAGGCTCCTTGCCATCAGCGCAGAGCCTAATGCAGGGCTCGATCCCTTCAATTGTGAGATCATGACCTGAGCCAAAAATCAAGAGTTGGATGCTCACCAGGTGAGCCACCTGGCCAAAAAGGCCAGAAGTTAAAGGGAGACATAAAAATTAAAGTTTATCTTCTGGCTGAATATTTGGGGGAAGTACAGTCAATGCTGTTTACGTTATAAGAGTAACACAAGTTCCTCTTTTAGAAAAAGTTGAACGATGTAAAAGTAGAAAATGAAAGTCCTCCCTCCCTGATCCTTGTCCCCACAGGCTGGTAACACTTTGCGTGTCTTTCCTGATGTTTATGTTTACATACATGTATCCACGCTTTCATATAGAAACGTTTTTAAAATACAAAAACAGGGGCACCTGGGTGGCTTATTTGGTTGAGCGGCCAACTTCAGCTCAGGTCAGCTCAGGTCATGATCTTGAGGTTTGTGAGTTCGAGTGGGCTCGCTGCTGTCAGCACGGAGCCTGCTTTGGATCCTACTTTGGATCCTCTGTTCCTCCCTCCCTCCCTCTCTCTCTCTCTCTCTTTCTCTCTCTCTCTCTCTGTCCCTGTCCCTCTGCCGCTCGTGCTCTGTTCCAAAAGTAAATAAACCTTAACAAAATAAAATACAAAAACGGAACCATATTTTGCATACTGATCTGTAAAATGTTTTGCCCGCTTTGTATTAGGCTGTCACCCCTGTAAAGCACATGTAAAGCTGCTGTTTTTTTGCTTTAGCGGCTGCATATGTTAGTCTAAAATTAGAGTGTAGCATTATTTATATAACCAGTTTCCAACTGGTGATCATTCAGGTGATTTTTTTTTTTTTTAACTATTACTGGGAGTGCTTTAAATAACATCCTTAACTATGTGTAAGTTTTTTAAAACAGTTGTCAAATACACATAATAATTATCATCTGAACCATTTATTTATTTATTTATTTTATTTTATTTTATTTATTTATTTATTTTTCAACGTTTTTTATTTATTTTTGGGACAGAGAGAGACAGAGCATGAACGGGGGAGGGGCAGAGAGAGAGGGAGACACAGAATCGGAAACAGGCTCCAGGCTCCGAGCCATCAGCCCAGAGCCTGACGCAGGGCTCGAACTCACGGACCGCGAGATCGTGACCTGGCTGAAGTCGGACGCTTAACCGACTGCGCCACCCAGGCGCCCCTGAACCATTTTTTTTAAATAATTTTTTTAAGTTTATTTATTTTGAGAGAGAGATAGCAGGAGCCGGGGAGAGACAGAGAGAGTGCGAGAGAGAGAGAAAGAATCCAAGTAGGCTCCATGCTGTCAGCACAGAGTCCGATGTGGGGCTCAAACTCACAAAACTGTGAGATCACGACCTGAGCTGAAACAAAGATTTGGTTGCTTAACCAACCAACTGAGCCACCCAGGTGCCCCATCAACTGAACCATTTTTAGGTGTACAATTAAGTAATATCACCTTATATGTGTATCTTGGCATTTGTGCTAGTGTTTTTGCCAGATAAATTTCTAAGCAATGAAAATGCTGGGTTCAGAGGATATGTATGATCTTTGTTTCTTGGTGGAAGATTTTTATTTTTTATTTATTTGTTTATTTATTAAAGTTTATTTATTTATTTAGAGAGAGCACATATGTGAGCAGGGGAGGGGCAGACAGACAGACGGAGAGAGAGAATCTCAAGCAGGCTCTGTGCTGTCACCATGGAGCCCAATGTGGGACTTGATCTTATAAACTGTGAGATCATGACCTGAGCCAAAATCAAGAGTCTGACACTTAACTGATTGAGCCACCCAGGCACCCCTTGTGGAAGACTTTTAAAGCTAAAATATAGCTTAAATTACTGGTTGAATATTATAAAGGAAAACAAAAAAAACCCACGCCCCTATAAATTACTGGTTTTAGGGTCTTGAGTCCATGGTCAGCTGCCCAGGGATAGGCTTCAAGAATTCTGTGATTTTCCTCTTTCCCCAAACTATGCAGAATTTGAGTATACTCAAATTTATAAGTTTACTTTGCCAGGGAGAGGGCTCAGAACTTTTTATCAAATTCTCAGTAAGTTCTGTGACTTGTGTAAAAATCACCATCTTAAATTAATATCTAATTTTTCAATTCAATCAGTGTTTTTTTTTTTAAACCTACTAGTTGTCTAATACTAGGTTTATGGGCCAAAGAAATACAAGATATTGATTCTATTTAAGATATTCTTTAAAAGCTGTAATAAGATAGACCTAGGAGAACTACTACTAGAGAACATTTCTAAGTCAGCATCCAAGCAAGTAAGAATGTGTATAGTTCAAAGCTATTAGAGAAATGAGAAGTCAGAAAGGGGTCATTTGGTGACTGTTTACTCAGAGAAGTTTTAATGGAAGACCAAGCAGGAAACCTTGGCTTTTTTGTCTAGCATCTGGTGCAGGGCCTGGCACATAATAGGTGCTTTAGTAAATGCTTAAATGAACAAACAAATGAATGGAATACCTGGTAATAAGTAGTGGAGAGGGGTCCAAAGGAATTGGATACATGAGAGTTAGTTGTTTTGTTTAAAAAAAAATTTTTTTTTAATGTTTGTTTATTTTTGAGAGAAAGAGAGACAACGTGAGCAGGGGAGGGGCAGAGAGAGACACACACAGAATCTGAAGCAGGCGCCAGTCTCTGAGCTGTCAACACAGATCCTGACATGGGGCTCAAACCCATGAACTATGAGATCATGATCTGGGTCAAAGTTGATGCTTAACCAACTGAGCCACCCATGCACCTCTACGTGAGAGATAGTTCAAAGAAAAAAAGAGGAACCTCTTTGGAACTGGCAGGGGTTAGGAAGGGGCCATTCTGAGGAATAGAAAGAAAGAAATATGGGATAGTTCATTGAGGGCTTTAAACATTTCCCTGAGGAGTTTGAGTTAGTTGTCAATAGGAAGTCATTGTAGGAAGTCATTGTGACCTGGTGACCATGGGATTTTTGGAGAATGAACCACTGAGCTGGGTAGTTGGGGACACAGAGAACAGCCAACACTATTGTAATTCAGATATGAGGGGAAGAGTCCTTGGAAAAGGAAAGGATTAAAATCCTTGAAGAGGAGTCATTAGCAGATTATGGAGTGACTGAGTGTGGGAGTGTGGAAGTGAAGAGGACTCGTCAAAGGTCATGACTCTCCGAGCCTAGAAACTAGATGGATATTAGTACTAACCTAAAGACATTGGGAAGTTGAGAAGACGAGTCAGTTCGGGGAAGAGGAAATACAGACAGGTTGGGATTGAAATATTAGCAAAGAGAAGGTGTGCTATAGGCAGTTCAAGATGGAGAGTTGGATTTGGAGGACTAAGTAGCATGCAAATTAAAAAAAAAAAAATGCTTTCTTTAACAGCTGGCCTGACTTGGTTCTACCTTTCTCTAGATCAAAAATATCCTGCCCCATTTTCTCTTTTTCCATTAAAGTACAAGACATTCTGCTATACCCAGCTCAAATCCTACCTTCTCTACGTAGCTTTCTTTGACCACCCTCGTTGGATGAGTTGTCTCTGTTCTAAACTCCTCAGGCATTATTGTCTCTACCAGCATTATTGATTAAACCTTCTGTGTAGGTAGTAATTGGCTGTTGAGGATTTCAGACTGTTGATACTGTTGAATTTGGGTCAAGAATACATGGGAGGTCTTCATACTCTTCTACTTCTTTTGTATGTTTGAAAGTTTCCATGATAAAAAAGTAAAACAAAATAAAGCGGGGGGAGAAACCAAAGTTAGCTGTGGTACTTTTTAAAAATACAGATGCCTGGGTCTCACTCTTGGCCATTCTCATTCATAGGTCTTTGATGGGTCTGGTTGTCTATATATCTAGAAGATCTATAGGAGCTCCTAATGTGCACCAAATATTGAATCTCACTTGTCTTTTTCATTCAGTTGGTACCTAGCTGTGAACACTTGATGTTAGATTTTCAGCTCACTACTCATTTGTCAAATTGTTTGATTGGCCAGTGTTGGGAATTCAAATAAGAAACAGTGCTACCCTCAAGGCACTTTTATAGCAGGAGAGAAACAAGTAAATAGTAAGTGCAGTAATGTAGGAAGTACTGAGCGATGTGCTTTGAAGTGGATTGTTTTGTTTAATCTTCACCACGGTTTTAAGAGATAGATACTGTTACCTTTCTCTGATAGATGAGGGGATGGAGGCTTAGAGAAAGAAGTTAAGGTCACATAGTTAAAAAATTGCCAAGCTAGGATTTGAGCCGAGGCTATGGGACTCCAGAGACTGTGTAATCATAACCATTGCCATTGCCTTCCTGGAATTTCATACCATACACATACACAAAATCAAAATTGATCACAAAAGTAAAATCACACATAAAAATACTTAAAAAACATAATAAGGTGTTTTTTAAACCTGGGTGGCACAGTCGGTTGAGTGTCTGACTTTTTTAAATTTTTTAAATGTTTTTTATTATTTTTGAGAGAGAGAGAGACAGAGCATGAACGGGGGAGGGGCAGAGAGAGAGGGAGACACAGGATCTGAAACAGGCTCCAGCACAGAGCCTGAGGTGGGGCTCAAACTCAGGAACCATGAGATCATGACCCGAGCCAAAGTCAGCACTTAACTGACTGAGCCACCCAGGTGCCGCCCCCCTCCCCCACATAAAAAAAAAAAAAATTTTTTTTAATGTGAGCGTCTGACTCTTGGTTTTGGTCCAGGTCATATCTCATAGTACACAGGATTGAGCCCTGGGTCAGGCTCTGTGCTGACAGCTTGGAGCCTGGTTGGGGTTTCTCTCTTCTCCCTCTGCCCCTCCCCCCACTTGTACATGTGCACGTGCTCTCTGTCTCTCTCTCTCAAAATAAACACTTAAAAAAAACCTGAAAAACCCCCATAAGTTTCAAAAACCAAACACTTAAAAAACCAGCTATATTTTAACTCCATCTTTGAGGGATTTTTCTGTGTGGGCTGGACTGACTGAGGCATCTGAAAATAGGAGTCCAATTAAGTCTCCACTGTTTCCTGGCAAATTTCCCTGAAGTTTTCGTTGCTCAAAGGACTTTTGAAATGTTTTAAGAATCAGACATTCTTGAAAATGTCTGTTACCCGTTTGGTGTGCACGAATGCTTCTAGAACTCTTTTGAGTGCTTTATGCTAGGGGAATTTTCCATGGTGACTTAGGACTCTGAGGCATACACTGCTGCTAAGGGGTTGTAAAAGGCTGTGCTGGTTACTACTGTGATGGAAAGATCATTTCTAACAAGGAAGGCAGTAAAAATGAGAAGTTGTGAGTGTAGTCTTAGTAAGTTTGCTCTTGGCTGCCTATAGTTTGAATCCTCATAGCATCTCTATAAGGTATAATTTATGATGATCATTTTACAGAGGATGATAGTACATGTCTAAAAGGTTAAATAACTTTCTTGTAGTCATATGGCTAATCATTGTCAGAACCAGTATTGTCTAGCTCCAAAACTGTCTTGCTTCCATCTTACCGAGTGTGATAGAGGTAGTTGGACATTAGATTTAAGGCTCAGGTATAGTCCTGGCTAGCATAGTTGATTTAGATGGCATCAACATAGAAAGCATTGCAACCATGGGAGTGGTCAAGATCGCCCAGGGAGATTGTGTAGAGTGAGGACTGATAAAAGTTGGGGGCAGATGCTCAGTTCTGGAGGACAGAGTTCATGTCCTTCACTTTTTGCAGAGTAGACTTGTTGCAGTGAACATTGGTTGTTTGTAATCTTAATGTTGTATCTTGGGAACTCTGGCTTTGATGTTGCTTTGATGGCCTGATTCTGCATATTAGAGGTAGCTCCCATTTACTGACCTGGAGGTGTGTTTGTCTTTCCAGATTACCTAAAACCAGATCTATGGATGATCTGCTTTCTGCCTGTGACACAAGCAGCCCCCTGACTCGCACATCCAGTGACCCTAACCTGAATAACCACTGTCAGGAGGCCAGAGTAGGCCTGGAGCCCCGGCACAGCAATCCTGAGGGCTCAGAGACCTTTGTGGAATCTGTGGTAGGAGGTCCTCAGCAGACCGTAGGAGAAATGGGTCTTCCTTCCCCTCTGCCCAGCAACCAGAAAGACTACTTGAGCAAGAAACCTTTCAAGAGTCAGAGAAGCTGTTCTCCAAGTTACAAACTGTTTAGTACTGCAGTGCCCCAGGAAATGAAGAGCAACATCTCTGATCCTGAGATCAAAGTCCTGGAAGAGACTGAAGCAGCAGCTCCAGACCCTCCTGCCCACAATGAGATGGATAGGACTTTAGATGGCACAGAGGAGCCACCTGAACATTGTCCTGAGAAAGAAGCTGTCAGCACACTCTCCGAAGTTGTTTCCAACAAATGGAATGGAGTTTGTGATTTTCCTGAGTCTTCCCAGGACTCCCTTTCAGGTGCCCCCCAACAGGCCCTGCTAGATTCCATGCTAGGTGTGCCCTCTGGATGTGCTGCAGATCACGGTCTGGGTACCCTTTGTGACCCACTGAGTGCTACCAGCCAAACTTCTTCGGAGCCAAGCACTGACTTCCTCAGCCAAGATCCCCCAGGGTCTGTGGCAAGGAGTTCCCACCAGGAACAGCCCAGTTCTGTGCCAGATCTGATTCATAGGGAGGAATATGCTGGCAAAAGAGGGAATAATAGGAATGGGCAGTTATTGGAAAATCCTCGCTTTGGGAAAGTGCCATTGGAATGGGCCCGAAAGCCAATTTCTCAGAGCCAGATCAGTGAGTTTTCCTTTTTAGGATCCAACTGGGATAGCTTCCAAGGGATGGTGACTTCATTCCCAAGTGGGGAGACCACCCCTCGGCGGCTGCTTTCCTATGGCTGTTGCAGCAAAAGGTCAAGCAACAAGCAGGTGCGGGCAATAGGGCCCTGCTTTGGGGGCCAGTGGGCTCAGAGAGAAGGGGTGAAATCACCGGTCTGTTCTAGTCATTCCAATGGACACTGTACTGGTCCAGGGGGAAAAAACAACCGGATGTGGTTGTCCGGTCACCCAAAGCAGGTCTCCAGCACAAAGCCTGTTCCACTGAGCTGCCCTTCTCCAGTGCCTCCTCTCTACCTGGATGATGATGGACTGCCCTTTCCCACGGATGTGATTCAGCATAGATTACGGCAAATCGAAGCAGGGTACAAGCAAGAGGTAGAGCAGCTACGCCGACAGGTGCGTGAGCTTCAGATGAGGTTGGATATCCGTCACTGCTGTGCCCCTCCAGCAGAGCCCCCCATGGACTATGAGGATGATTTTGTAAGTATTCACCACTGCTATCCATCCATTCATTCATTCTTTCCATCCAGCCTTCCATGCATTCAACATTTATTCATTGGGTACTTGCTATGTGCCACTGTGTTAGGTGGCTGGTTTGTAGGATGAAGGACATAGTCCCTGCTCTCAAGGAGCTCACAGTCTATAGGAGAGAGAAGCAGACAACTAGAATGATTTTTTTAAATGTTATCCTGGAAGGAAGCATCAGGTGTTGGGGGCTCAGGCTTTCCTGAGAAGATAATACTTGAGGTGAGTGCTGAAGAACTTGTCATATTTGGCTAGGTGGACCATGAAAAGGAAATACCATTCTCAAAAGCATGGAGGCAGTAAGTATTCTGATGGGATGACTCGAACAAAGGGATGGGGGTATGTGTGTGTGTGCACGTGTGCATGTGTGAGACATGCATGTACAGGTGTGCTGGGGCCATGGAGGAGGGAGTTGGGTAGTGAGGTGGGAGCTGATATTGGAGAAGTAGACAGGGATTGGAAAGGTCAGCTCGAGATCCCTTCTTGTGTGGATTCTACCCTCAAGGCATCATGATTTTGGCCACTGAGAATCATGATCAGATCTGTATTTTTTTTTTCAATGTTTATTTTTGAGAGAGAGAGAGTGTGTGTGTGAGCGGGGGGGGGGGGGCAGAGAGAGAGGGAGACAGAGGATCCGAAGTGGGCTCTGTGCTGACAGGAGACAGCCTGACATGGGGCTCAAACTCACAAACCGTGAGATCATGACCTGAACTGAAGACGGACACTTAACTAACTGAGCCACCCAAGTACCCCAGATTTGTATTTTTTAAAATATTTTTTAAAGCTTATTTATTTATTTTGAGAGAGTACCCACGTGGGGGAGGGACAGAGAGAGAGGGAGAGAGAGAGAATCTGAAGCAGGGTCTCCATGCTGTCAGTGCAGACCCTGATGCAGGACTCAAACTCATGAACTGTGAAATCCTGACCTGAGCCAAAAACCAAGACTTGGATGCTCAACTGACTGAGCTACCCAGGCACCCCATCAGATTTGTATTTTAAGAATACTACTCTAGCGGGGCGCCTGGGTGGCGCAGTCGGTTAAGCGTCCGACTTCAGCCAGGTCGTGATCTCACGGTCCGTGAGTTCGAGCCCCGCGTCAGGCTCTGGGCTGATGGCTCAGAGCCTGGAGCCTGTTTCTGATTCTGTGTCTCCCTCTCTCTCTGCCCCTCCCCCACTCATGCTCTGTCTCTCTGTCCCAAAAAATAAATAAACGTTGAAAAAAAAAAAAAATTAAAAAAAAAAAAAAGAATACTACTCTAGCAATGGTGTGTCAAGTGGATGAGGCACTTGAAATGCAGGTTGGGAGGCTGGTTAAGATATTTTGGAATAATCCAGGGGTGCCTGGGTGGCTCAGCTTGTTAAGCTTCCCACTTCAGCTCAGGTCATGATCTCACGGTTCGTGGCTTCAAGCCCAATGTCGGGTTCCGTGCTGACAACTCAAACCTGAGCCTGCTTCAGATCCTGTGTCTCTTGTCTGTCTCTGCCCCTCCCCCATTCACGCTCTGTCTCTGTCTCTCTCAAAAATAAACATTTAAAAAAAAAAAGATGTTTTGGAATAATCAAAGTGAGAGATGATGAAGACTATCTAAGCTTTGCTGTGTTGGGAGCCTTCAGATTTGGGTCCACAATTCTTAAGAAGCTTCTAGGAGTCAGTTTCTTGGCCACAGTATCATGTCATCAACACGGACACTTCCCTTCCTTCTGTTAACACATTCCCACTTGCCTGCTGCCCACTTACTGGGATGGGATGGTCAGGGCTAACAACTTCCTAATATTCGGAGTGTTGGTTTAGAACAGGAGTCAGCAAACTTTCTGGTAAAGGGCCATATTAAATACTTTAGACTTTGTGGACATATAGTCTCTGTCCCAGCTGCTTGTCTCTGCTGTCACAGCACACAAACAGCCATAGACAATACGTATAAAAATGAGTGTAGCTGTCTTCCAGTAAAACTTGATTTACAAAAACAGGCAGTGGGCTAGATTTGGCCTGTGGGCCATAGTTTGTGAATCTCTGGTTTAGAACGTAATGAGAAATATGTCCGTGCTGTGATAAAGCATATTGGTTAAGAGCATAGGTCTGAATCCAAAATACATTTGACCCTTGAACAATGCAGGGGTTAGGGTGCTGAACCCTCATGTAGTCAAAAATCCACATACAACTTTTGAGTTCCCCAAAACTTAACTAGTAATAGCCTAAGAAGCCTGATAATACAGTAATTAACATATATTTTGTATGTTAGATGTATTGTATGCTGTGTTCTTACAATAAAGTAAGCTGGAGAAAAGAAAACGTTACTAAGAAAATCATAAGAAAGAGAAAATAATACATTCATAGGACTATACTATATTTATTGAAAAATCTCTGCATACAAGTGGACCTGTGCAATTCAAACCTGTGTTGTTCAAGGGTCAACTGTACAACGTTGAAAATTCAGGTTTACTACTTACTACCTTTTAATTTTCTCAGTGCTTAATTTCCTTATTTGTAAAATAAGGATGATGATAATAATATACATCATACGATTCTTGGGAGGAATTAAAGAAGTTCATGTATCTAATATTCTTAGAATAGTACCTAATGCATAGGAAACAGTACATGTTAGTGATGGTGAAGATGGTGTTGATGTCTTTGCCTTTCTTCAGACATGTTTGAAGGAGTCCGATGGCAGTGATATAGAAGATTTTGGCTCTGATCACAGTGAAGACTGCCTTTCAGAAGCAAGCTGGGAACCTGTTGATAAGAAAGAGACTGAGGTATGTCCAGGCAAATACATGCTTTTGTGAAGCACTGAATTCTCATATTTCTCAGAGATGAGTGACATGCTATAAACTGAACCTTCTCTTGGGCGAGTGTCTTCTTTTTAGGCAAGTAGAGGCCAACTATAAAGACAGACCTCATCATTTTCTCCTGGAATGCTTTCCTTGTTGCAATGTTGCTCTTCTACTTTGTTGACAAGGACCTGGAATTTTTCCTTGTGCCTTCTGTTAGGTGACTCGCTGGGTTCCAGACCATATGGCATCACATTGCTATAACTGTGACTGTGAGTTCTGGTTGGCCAAACGAAGACACCATTGCCGGTAAGATGTTTTATATGATTCTGTAAGGCTCAAAAAGGAGTGATTGATGTATGTGTATCTGAGCTAAATAAAGTTAATCTGAAAATAGAGATATCTTTATAGGGACTACTTTTGTTTTCTGCCAACTTTTCTCTTTATTTACTCATGTAAGGCCTTTTAGAGTATCCTTCATGGTTTTTTGTTTTTTTTTTTTTTTTTTTTTTTTTTTTTTTTTTAGTGTTTATTTTGAAAGAGCAAGAGAGAGCATATGCAAGCAGGGGAGGGACAGAGGGAGAGGAGAGAGAATCCCAAACAGGCTCTGCACTGTCAGCACAGAACCTGATGTGGGGCTTGAACTCATGAACCATGAGATCATGACCCGAGCTGAAACCAAGAGTTGGATGTTTAACTGACTGAGCCACTCAGGGGCCGTGAGGATCATTCATTTCTGATGAGCTCTTCCCTCTTTGTTCTTTGGCAGAAATTGTGGGAATGTATTTTGTGCTGGCTGCTGCCACCTGAAGCTGCCCATTCCTGATCAACAGCTCTATGACCCAGTTCTCGTCTGTAACTCCTGTTATGAACACATCCAAGTATCTCGTGCCAGGGAACTCATGAGCCAACATCTGAAGAAACCCATTGCTACAGCTTCCAGCTGAATGCCAGAGGAGATGACCTGTCCAATTTTAGCAGGTTTGAAGGGAGGATCTGCTTCAGGTGTAGTTTTGAAGGTTCCTTGGTGTGGCTCATGAAATAACAGAGCTCAAAGATACCGTCTTGAGAAATCCTCCATGGTACCATGAGACTGGAGCAGAGGAATTCCAATTTGGCAGGAGGTCTTCTATTGGTGAGACCCTCACCTTGGGGTAATGGTCCTGATCCAGACCCAGAGTCTGGAAGCTTAATGTTGAGCTGGTGACTCCAGCTTTTGTCCTAGGGGCCACAAGATGATGATTTCATAGATACCGCCTGGTGATACATGCCCCAAACAGCAATAGAAAGGCATAAGTATAACCAAACTCCAAGTGATAAACAGATCCATCTCTCCTCCACCTTGAAAAAAGCAGATTTTAGTATACAAGATAGGAATTCCTATCCTATTTGAAATGAACTATATCCTGTTCCTCTGTGCTCTGTGTCTGTGCATGAAGGCTCAGTCTTTAGAGGCACTCCCTCTAGTTGCAGTAGTTCTGTCTCTCTGTGGAGTTTGGTTTAAAGACTGGTTCAGCAAGTGGAGGTTTTGCTGTATTTTTCACTTGGCTTATCGGCCAACATCAGTGAATATTCAGTTTAGAGGGACAGTTCTAAGGAGTCAGACATTCTTGGGAGCAGAGGAAAGCTCTGCTGATGTTCAGTCCTGGCAAAAATCAGTTATTTTGAGCTGCGAAGGCAGTCGTCTCTGTTACTCAGTGGCAGCTCTTGAGGTATGCACTGTGAAGAATGAGAAGGGAAAAGCAGAAATGATCCTTGTCAAATATTTGCTGATCGTGCCCTGCCCTTTGCGCCTGACTTTTCCTAGTTGTCCTGGTGCTAACACAGGAGTTACACCTTGATCCTCTCCTGGCATGAAAACGAAACAATGGATTTTTGTTGTTGTTCCATTGCCCACTTCCCTCATGTTGTCTTTCCCTTGGCTGCTGCCTCCTCTGGGTCACACTGCTTCTTATCCTGAACACTTGACACCTTGAGGGTAGAATTTAGCATTTGGTTTTTACCTCCTAGAATATGCTGTTTGGTATGTGAGGGTTTCAGTACAAATGCTGCTGTCTATTTCTGTGCACTTAACAATGGAACCCAAACAGAAGAGAATAAAGCCTTGATACCAAAATTGGGAGAGAAAATGTGTCCATTTGGACCAAACATTGTTTTTTTTTTGTTGTTGTTGTTGTTGTTGTTTTGTTTCATCTTAATATGTACCAGTGGCACTTAACCAAAAGATACAGTGATATAGCCATGTACTGTGGTTGGGACAGATATAGTCTCCTTGATCTATAATGAAACCACTAGTATTCCTTTATACATTTTCCTTAATCCATTGGTGTATAAAAGGTGAATTACACTTAGGCTTATCCTGTTTTAAAACTATGGTAGCTGTCTGTCTAACTGCTACTTTCATGTTACTTCCTAGAAAAAAATTTTTCATTTGAAAATAACTAGGATCTGCATTTAGAACAAGAATTGTTATTTGTCCTGACCTTTTCTTTAGTCCTACAGAGAAGCATCTGTGCTTTTATACTTGTCATGGATGTAACCTAAAAAGTTTTGGCGTATTTAGGTCAGCCTAGCAGAACTTTTTTTTTTTTTTTTTTTTTTTTTTTTTCATTTAAATGGAGTTGAATAATGGAGATTTGTGTCTGGGAAATTCCTGAGATCATTGAAAAAGTAACAAACTATTCCTTGTCTCTGATACGTGAAATTCTAAGCATTTTCTCAATCATTAAAATTTACTGCCAGTTGCGAGTGGCTTTTTAATTAACTTTCATTGCACTTCACTCTGCCCATTTTCAGGGGGAGTAAGATTGGTGGTAACATTTGAGGAGACTGTATCTGTCTACTTCGTGTGGCTGTTTTGAGGGACTGTCCCATCAGTGAACATACTGCATGGCCTTGGAGAGAGACTCTGGGCTCTCAGCTCAGATGTATTCATCAAATACTCCTTTCAGAGCTCTTGTGGGTGTAAGTGACATGATGTGGCCAAAAATCCAAACTGTGCAGTTGCGTTGTGACAAACATGCAATGTGCTGTAAAAACTCAATACAATTTAAATAAAATCTCTATATTAGTGCTGCTTTGTTGGGTCTTTTTATTCATTTTAATTTCTAAGTAAACTTAATACTCATTTTTTCTTTGACCATGAGAAAGGACTAAAACATTATACTCCTTCCTCCCAACCATTTCCATTTTTAAAGTTTTTAAAATTTATTTATTTTGAAAGTGAGGAGGGGGAAGGGCAGAGAGAGAGAGAGGGAGGGAGAGAATTCCCAGCAGGCTCCACGCTGTTGGTGCAGAGCTGGAAGGTGGGGGTGAGGGGGGAGGGAGATGAGTGCTGGATTTCATGAAACATGAGATCATGACCTGAGCAGAAATCAACAGATAGAGGCTTAACCCACTGAGCCACACAGGTGTCCCAATTTCCATTTTTAAATGGACCTTTCTTTTCTTTTTTTATAATTTTTCTTCAATGTTTATTTACTTTTGAGAGAAAGAGATTGCAAACTGGGGAGGGGCAGAGAGAGAGAAAGAGAGGGAGAGAGAGAGGCAGAGGATCCCGAGAAGCAGGCTCCACATTGTCAGCGCAGAGCCCACTGCTGGGCTCCAGCTCACAAAGTGTTGAGTGAGATCATGACCTGAACCAAAATCAGAAGCTTAACTTACTGAGTCACCCAGGTGCTCCAAATGGACCTTTCTATCAGCATAGCTCTCACCATATTCTTATCTATTGATAGAAAGGGATTTATCATTATGGCTACAGTAGAATTCTACCCCATCTCATGTCAGGTTTCTCTTCAATGTCTAAAATAGCATCAGCTGGTTGACCAGGTACAGAGGATTGTAATTATATTCTGATTCCCTCCTCATTGCCACCTCAGTTCTCATCCCACCTTGAATAAACCTGTCCTGAGCAAAATATTGACGTAAAAGAGTATATCTAAAAACATAAAATGCTACTCTTTAAAAGATCACTTTGTTTACTCAGGATACCATACCCCCATCACCATTCTTATTTTGGGAAGACAAGCAATTAAACTGTTCGTTTATACTTAGTTTATGGCTACTCAGATTATAGAGTTAGACCCTTTGTTCTCAAGAATGGCTGACTTTGAATTGGCAAGTGCACAGTTTCCGAATTCTAAAACCTCACACGCTGGTTGCGGTGATCAGCATGAATCTTGGTATTCCACCATGGATAATCAGGTTTATTTATTTTCAGGACTTAATAGTACCTGGTGGGCTGCAACACCACGGAGTCTGGCGGTTTGGGGACGTCGCCGAGGAAACGTGCCTTGCTGCCGCCGCGCCCCACGCTGCTGCAAGGGTCCGACGACGCGGAGTCCAGGGGGAGGGTTGGCTCGCGCCACGTCCGGCCGCGCGGTGGGAACTCGAGGCCCCATTGGCCGCGTTGGAAGGCGCGGCAGACGCTCGTGCGCCAACGGTCCCGGGGTACGCGGCGGGCCTGGCGCAGGCAGGAGGGGGCAGGGCGCAGCGAAGGCCGGGCAAGGGGGAGGGGATCGAGAACGGGGTGGAAGAGCCAGGCTCTGCGGGGCGAGGCCCAGTGCCCGGGCGGGGGCGATGGAGGAGGCGCTGCTCTCCACCCCCATCAACCCCAACAACTTCCCCGCCAAGCTGTGGCGGTTGGTGAACAGTCCCCGGTACCGCTCGATCCGCTGGGACGGCCGTGGCGAGGGGCTGCTCATCGACCAGCCGCTCTTCGAGGCCGAGCTGCTCAGCCCGCCCGGGGCGGGGGCCGGGGGCGGTGGCGGTGGCGGCGGCGGCGGCGGCAGCGGCGGTGTGGGGGGCAACGGGGCCGAGCCCGAGCTCTTCAAAACCACCAACTTCACCAGCTTCATCCGCCAGCTCAACCTCTACGGCTTCCGCAAGGTGGTGCTGGGCGGGCCGGGCGCGGCGGGGCCCGGGCCGGGGCCGGGGGGCGGCGGACCGGCGGGCGACGGGCCGCTCCACCACTTCCACAGCCCACACTTCCGCCGCGACCAGCCGCAGCTGCTGGTGCACCTCAAGAGGCTCACCAGCGCCAACAAGGCCAAGCTGGCCGCCGGCCTGGAGGTGCCCTGCCGGCCGCCCAACCGCTTCCAGAGGCTCCTCATTACGTCGGCCTCCGCCTCGGCCTCGGCCTCGGCCTCGGCCTCCACCTCCCCGCTGCAGCACCAAGAGCCGCCGCCACCCGCGGGGCCCCGGCCCGAGCCGCATGGTGAGTCCATGACCACTACCAGGCACATGGGGCGACGGGGAGCAACCGCCGCTTCCGAGGGCATTTCACACATCCTCAGGTGCGAAGGTGATCCACTGTCTGCTGGGCTTCCCGAGAAATAGGTCACGTCGCCCCCACCGTTTCCCACGACCGCCAGCACCCCCTTTCCGCCGGTGTGTCCCCTGGAAGGACTTGGCATTTTTAGTCCGTTCTGGTTAATTGTCCACTGGCAGCCAAAGGGACCTCTGCTGTAGTCTTTCTGCTGTACCTGGCCTCTCTTGAACTCCAATCCCCCATAGCCATCTACCTTCTTGAGACTCTTCCCTTCCCTTCTCCAACATCTAGAATAAGTAGCCCTTTGTTGAAGCGCTGGGTCGGGAAGAAACACCGGAGGGTCTCCTTTGCTCTAATGGGAAGCAAAACAGTTACTGTAGAGGGTGAGGATATGATGGCCAAGGTGGGGAGGAACAAAGTCAGCCAGGAATACGTAGAACATTTATACCGACCGAAGGGAACCACGGTACCTTGAGTGGAAGTTTGCCCTTGAAGGGACATGCCATCTTCTACCCATTGACACATCTAAGAAGTCTGAAGAGATGTTCTGACAATAATCATATTTTAGGTTCCAAGTAATATATAGAAAGGTAAACATTGTGTATGTTAAGGGCAAATATATAATAATATATTAATTCTTCATAAGATACTGTTCCTGCATAGAACGAATTGGCCAAACGTTTCTTTCATCATAGCTAATTAGAGCTGATCTTTACTTGAGGTGTTATGGTTAGACAAACAGAAGGCAAAATGGTTTCCTTTACTGTCAAGTTGTAGTTAAAAGGAATTTTAGGAGGTTCACATTTATGTCTTTGAATCTTTCACTATTGGCTACAACCTTTCAGTCATGAAAAAACTTTGTATAAATATGTTTACTAAAAACTCAAAAATTCTTTCTGATAGAAAATTATTTTGTAAACTTGGCTTCCGATGCTCTTCCCCCTCTTCCAGGAAGGTGAGGGTGGCAAATATTCCTTTTCTCTGTTTAAAGAGTCCATGATATGAGGCAGTATTTCAAAACAGCAACTGGATATAATAGTGGGAATTCATTCTTGTCTTCAAGAGAAACATTTTCACCATGTTAATTTGGATCTAACATAAATATGTAAGGATTATTTTTTAGTTATGGGAAGCTAAAAATATACAAATAAAAGTAACACTTTGTTTGATTTAACCTAGGCCCAGGGTTATGAATGAGGCAGCATTTTGTTCATTTGGAATTTAGAAGATAAGAGATTAGCTTGTGTGTGGAGTTTAGAAGATAAGGGATTAGGTTAGAGTTCTAGTAACAAGTTGGAAAAATAGCAGTGGCAAAGGAATGTTCTAAAGGAATTCTAAAGGAATATTAAGCCACTTCCATGTGATGGCCATTGATTTTGGTGGGGAATTGCATGGGGAAAGGCACTGGAGACAATACCCTGGCATGCATTTGACAGAATCTCTGACGTGGGTATTTGTTTTTTAGGTTGTGTATCTGGTGGGTGTAAGGAGAAAAGACTGGAAAGTGTGTTCTTGGGAGTAATAGGGTAACTACTTCAGGCAAAGAAACATACAAATGTGCATACATAAAAACCAAGTCTTGCTCACTTTTTTCACTTCTCTTTTTCTCCTGACGTATCCTAAACCCAGTTGTATTCTAAGAATAGAGTCCATTTTAATGAAAGAAGTACAGGGGCTGCCAATGGTCAGATTTTCTTATAGTTGAACTCATATATATATATATATATATATACATATATATAGTTATAGAAATTCAATGTGTGTGTGTATATATATATATACAGAGTTTATATATATAATATATATATATGTACAGAGTTTATATATATATAATATATATATAAAGAGTATATATATATTATATATATATAAAGAGTTTATATATATATATATATACACACACACATTGAACTTCTATAACTATATAGATGAACTTTAGTTCAGTTGGTCAGCATTTTGAAGATTTGTTGAATAACATGAATTTAATTCATATTTTTGCAGTGTAGATATTACATCAATCCACATATACCTAGATTATTGTAGTTTTCACACATTCCCTATTTTTTACCATTCTGCCTGTTGGTATGTGCAGAAGGTATGTCGGTTGTGTATTGTCTACACGATAGGCTTGGTTCACTAGGGAATTGTGTTTCTGATGTGGGTGGAATGTAATTCTAAGTTCAAGAATACTGGGCCAACTTCGTTCGCTCTAATTCTGTGTTCTAAGCCCTTGGCTCTTCTGTTTGTCTTCACCTAGTTTTTATTCTCCTTGACCATTTCTTTAGTTATATGTCTGACTGTACTGCTACTTCTTAGTCTCCACTTTGTTTTCTGTGTTCTACTTCAGCTTATGGTTTGAATACTTATGTCATTTTTTTTTTTTTTTTTTACAATAGCATCCTCTGTTCTAGTACCTTTTTATCTAGATCCATTGAAATAGTTGTCTTGTTCACCTTTCAGGAATGTCCTTGATAAGAAATGTGAAAATCACATGTTTTTCCCTTTTTTTTTCTTTTGCTCCACTTTGTTATTTTGTTTTTAGTGGCAATTTATTTTACAATATTTGTTAAAACTTTCTAAACTAAGTAACAAGTCTGAGTAATAGTAGATAATCTGTTTTGGCCTGGGGATATCAAGCTCTCAAGAGGCAGACTTTTTTCCTGGGAATTGATTAGTTCAGAGCCATTTATATAAAAGGAATAAGACCTTTATGAACAGAAATGCATCCTGCCTTACATTTCTAAAATTCTGGATTTAAACTTTGTCAAATATATCTTGCAGATGTTCTGAAAACATACAGACGATATT